TGCACGGCATCACCGCGTGTATATCCTGGAAGTATGGTCCCGCTGTCTGCGTCATATTCCACAGTCTGCGCAGAATCAAAGTCATACCCCAGTAACTCCAACCATACCGGAGCCGTCATGATGATGTCCACCCCGCAGACCCTAGACCTCAGCTCACCCTGATGGTAGCTGAGGTTATGGTAGAAGGCCCGTACATGCAGCTCAGAATATGAACACGACAGTTCAGCCAAGGTCCTAAGATGTGATTCCTCCAACCACCTCACAATGTTAAAACCTTCTTGTTCAAAAAAGGCTGTATCAAGTGATTTTGCCCCACAAATCGGTCGGTTAACAAAGTCACGGACAAAAGATTCATGAACCACCGGGTCATTCTCGAACAAGTATCCGAATGGGAGGTCGACAGCAGCGGGGTCTTCCTCTTGTGGCCTTGACGAAGACGGACGGTCTTGTCGTAGCTTCTGTCGTCTCTCATTTCCAGTGCTAGACGATCTTCTACGGCCAGCCATGGGAACAACTGTACCTACAATGCAAGTGGAAACAAAATTCAATGAACAATAACAATATCAAAAAATTTAAAATTCAATATAAAAAACAAAACCTAATCCTAAAATAAAACATAAATCAGAAACCCTATCCCTAACCCTAAAACAGAAACCCTAACCCTAAACCCTAACCCTAACCCTAAAACAGAACACAAAACCCCATTTTTAAACCCTAAACACTACAACCCAAACAAAACAGCAACATACACATTAACCCTAACCCTAACCCTAACCCTACCCCTAACATAACCCTAACCCTAAGCCTCAGGCACCACATCAACCCTAACCCTCACCCTCACAACAAACTTAGCACCCTACCCCTAACCTAAATCCACTAAACCACAAACAGAAATCAAATGCATGGAGAAAACCAAAAAAAAAAAACTAAACTTAAAACCAAATGCAAGTCAGAATACGTTACCTAAATGTTGATTTCGCAAGTGTGAACCAAGGAAGCTTCAATCGCACCTTCAAGGGTTGAGATTCGGACTTGGTTGGAGAGAGGGAACGGAATTGAGCGATTTAGTCAATTAGGGTTTGAAAATAACCCCCTTTGCGAAATGGGGGGTTTTTAAAAAACCTGATCTGCGACATTTAGTCGACTAAATAATGCTCTTAGTCGACTAAAAGTGCAAACAATTTAGTCGATTAAGGTGAGTTTTTAGTCGACTAAAATTCGCGTTTCATAATTTCTGAGTTTAGCCCATTTAGTTGATTAAAAGTGCAACTTAATCGACTAAATGGGGGCAGGATGGTGGATAGTTCTGGAGAAGGGGCAAATTGGTTATTAATTATTTAATTAGGGGCAAAATGGTTAAAAAGCCTGTTACATTGTGCGTGAAAGATATACCGAAAATCCAGTGGTACCATAGCACTGAAGAAATTTCTTTAAACTAGGCTCTCTTTTCTTAATATATATTTAAATTATATTTTTTAATTTTTAAGAATTATTTTTTCTTGAAAAAAAATATATTATATATTATAATTATTTGAACGTTAATGAAAGTTGAACCTAAGAAATTGTTCACATTAAAATAAATTAGTGCATATAACCTTTCTTCCCTTCTTTTTTGATGAATGTGACTACTACTTTTCTTTAATTTGTTCTCATTATATGGTGACAAAAATAGGAAAGATTTGCTTTGTATTTTGTAGGTAGTGAAGTGTGTGAGTAGTGGATACCATGTCTGTGTAGTCACTAGTCGAGAAATTTGCGGACTAGTTCAGGGATTGATTGGCCTTTGTGGCCCTATCAAGCAACTATTATCATTATCATTATCATTGTCTTTGTATTTGTTATCCACAACGGTGGACCATCCTTGTGGTATAAATTATAAACAAAAAAAAAAAAAATCACATGCATTTTCTGTAGAATGTAGGTGTTATTACACTGGAGCAAATTAAGCGCCATAAGCATTCAAACTAGAGTGATTTGGCAAACGTGCCTGGAACACTATGAGAGCAAAATCCCTGTTTCTAAGTCTTGATTCGTAAAGTTAAGGCAAGGGAAACATGTAGTTTGTACTTAATTAGCATTATGATTCTCTTTTATTATCTTGCTTATAATTAGCTTATTGTATTATCATTAATTATTCGTCAAAGAGCTCAAGTCTACCAGCAAATCCGCGGATTGTTTGCTTTCTACAATGTGAGAGATCCGAGGACAGGATTCTGGAAGGTGGTGCTGAGTACCAAGGTAGCAAAATATTGATATTTTGGAAGGTTAAAAACAAGTACTACTACTACAGTACTACTGCTACAAAATTTCAAAAAGGTTTTTGTGATTTGTGCATAAGAATCTTTTCCATTTGTCTCCAAACTTGACCAATTAACTCTATCTGAAGATGGTTCCAATTCTATTTTTACTTATGTCTAATTAACATATCGGTGTACTTATATATAATTTTATTAAACTCGCCACGGTTAGACTCGGTTAAGGTATTGGGTCACTGGTTCAACTAGTGAGTTACTGGTTCAATTGCATGACTCTGTAAGTATATGTAAATATATAATTTATATTAAAAAAACTATAAAATACTTAAATACTTGTAAAAAAATATATCAATTTCAAATATTTTAATATGAAAATAATAAATTACACATCATTGTCCAACAAAAGATCAATCAAACATGTAATATTTGTGATACTAGTGTTTCAGGTTCAGTAAACGACATATCTAACTATAAATCAAATTAAAATTTCCTGCATATTGCATAATCAAGATAATATAAGTGTTGTAGGTACATAATCTATGTAAGTTAATAAGCTACAAATCACTCAAATATTTCAAAAGAAAACAAATCATTTGTGTTTGAGAGTAAAAAAAAAAGACATTAATTTATGAAAATAAAATAGTTTTTTTTTTATAGACCGAGCTGGGTCACCGGTTGAATCGCCTGACGGTTTTTACGAAAATCGGCCGGGTCGCACCGTATCACATCAGTTCTGTAACATGACCGGTCTAATATGAAAACCAGACCGATTACATGACCGGTTCACCGGTTTCCGGGTCGACCCGGCCGGGTCGGTTCGGTTTTTATAACATTGGTTATATATATAGTGTATGTTTATTTGAGTTCACTTTTTTTTTTTTTTGGAAAATAATTTTCTAAAACGTTCCTTTCAAAAATATGTAAAAGTAAAAAAGTAATTTTTTTCTTTAAAAAAAAAAGTTAATCTAAACTCACAGTTAATAATTAATTATTGGAGTATATACAGAAAGAAAAATATTAGTATCATGTTATAGGATATTAGTATCTCCTGTCATAGACACAGTATGTGAGATTCACTCATTTATTTATTTTTTTTATTTTTTTAAAAGAATGCGCCTCACATATTTTGTGTCTATGATATGAGATATTAATATCCTATAATACTAGTATTTCCCATACAGAAATTACAGATATTGTAAAGTTCTATGTTCTTTTTCTTTTTTTTCTTTCTTTCTTCCTTTTTACCTTACCTATATGCCCTGAACACATTGGCACATTTTACCATCTAGAAATTAATTAACAACCAAAGTTAGTATTCCATAATTTTTGTTAGGGCGGATAAAGTTAATTAAAATCAGTAGTGATATAATTCTTTGATTCCTTGATTATCGGAGAATGATGGGATATGCAAACCACGTGTAAGAGCACAGAGCTTTTAGAAACAAAGCATCAAATCAAACAAAGATATGGGTGGATTGGAATGCTTTTAATAGAAGGTTTAGTTCAAAGGGGGAAGGGAACCGGTGATGTTCTCTTTTGACTGTTACGCAAACAAGATCTTTGATTCACAGCATGTTCTGCAAACCAAGCATATAAAAATCATCATCCAAGTGAAATATCGTAAGTGTAAACAGTCTTCCCACTTGGCTTTTTGCCACCCCAAGTCCCCAACGGCCCCAGGCTACTCCACGTCAAAGATTCTCACTTGTACTCTTGAGGTTTCAGACAAGGTGCATCGAGATATTTTCTTAACAAAAGAATATTTTAATATGATAACATAACAAATGCCCATGAAACACGATGTATTATATATTGCATAAATCTTAATGCAACTAAAAAGGTGGCTCAGGTCACATTCAATAAAGTATGATTAAGTGGTCGTTAAAGAGGCTTTACGGTTCCATGTGAATTGGCTGAATTTTATTCAGCACTCAGCACATAGCATAAATCTTTCTCAATCACATTATATTATATCCTATTATAAATAACTGAACAAGTTACAAAGATAAAAAAGTTTCAATACGATAAGGATGGAGTAACATGATGGACCTCCCCAGACACGAGTACCTAAACAAGAACAGTGCTTTCACAAAAGCAATATTGTAAAGGAAAGGAAAGGAAAGGAAAGAATTGTGGTGAATGCTAGTACTGTTTTGTTTCATTTTTTTTTTGTCCTACATTTGTTAGCGTGAGGTAAAAGAAGCTGTCAACAGAGTTTACGGGTTGTCCCAAACCACATGTACGGTGTAGAAGATTAGCTTGATTTGCTACAGATCTGGTCAGGCTTTATAGCACCTAGAAATTCCGGAAATATATAATTTCCCTTCCCCTTTGGGAAGAAAAACTCAAGAGTACTACTTTTCTACGTAGCTTTCCATTCTGCACATGCTAGAATGTATTCATATTGGAGACTTCGTATAACTTGCAGACAAGTTTTAGGGTCGCAATAAGGTTGTTCCTTATAGTCAAAAAGTCATAGATTCTAACTAGTAAATAGTCTTTTTGTAAAAATATAATAATAAGACTGCGCACAACCAATCCTCATACCTAACCTTGCAAGTCTTGCGGGAAGCCTTATACACCTAGGTTTGCCCCTTTTTTTAGATTGCTTATAATTTGCCATAGAGAGAAGTAATTCAAAAAGGAGGGGGGCAAAAAAAAGACCAAAAAAAAAATCATGTTTTTGAGAGGATGCACCTTGCACTAAAACATCATTTTGTATCCACAAAGGAAGAATGATGAGTAACCGGGTTAACCAAAAGAATATTTATTCATATATGTTAATCCAGCTTCCTGAGATACTTTCAACAGAAGATGCAGGGGGTCATCAAGAGATTCTGAACTTTATATACGATCTACAAACATGTAATGCAAACATTTGCTCATAACTGCATGAGTTTGGTGTAACAGATGCAACAGTCATGATAAGCACTTGTTTCTCTCAATGCCATCAATTCAATAGCTAATCCATCTCCAGCTAACAGATCCTCAACTACGCCAACTAATATTAAAAAGAATTGTCTCGCCTGCCTCTCCATGCTTCCAAACGTCAAGGTTCAACTGAAAGCAATGGCCTTACCTATTTCTCTGATTAAGAAAGAACGAAACTTTCAGTTAAAAAGAGGGAAGTGCAAGCAAGAGTTAAGGTTTAACATCTGACTAATATACAATAAAACAACCACCACCAAACCTTATCCCACTAGGTGGAATAGCATAACTCATATATAGTAACTAAATAAAATCAAATAGATACCCCGTAAATTATCTGACCGCTGAATGAATAATATTAAGCAGTAAATCAAAGTCATGCAAAAAAGCACCATTAGTAAAAGTTATGTTCTGAACTAGTTCCACAAAAAAGGAATGAAGAAAATATATAAATTCTAAGGATTCAATCTAATAAATAACCATTTTCAAATTCATGAATTATAGTATAGATCAAAGTACATTTTAAATGATGAAGAAAATCCAAGATGACTTGAAAGAGAAAATTATGATCGATTAAATGATTCCAATCATTTTTACCTTGTCGCCTAATCCATGCATCATTTTTAGGCCCATGCCCATATACTGGATCAACAACAACATAAGGAGGTGGGGCATTCTTCAAGAGTGGCACTCTGTCTGGAGCATATTCATCATCACTGTCATAATATTGAAGGGGCCCAAGAGCTTTGAGTATCATTGACAATAATAAAGAAAGTCCCTGATAGTGAAGAGCAAAGGCAACCATCCATCAATGCATCATTCATCGACAAAAATTCTAAATTCCAAAAGTAACTTCAACCTCAATTTTTTAAACCAACAGTAGTCAGTAGAAATATGTAACCAACCACGAAAAGAAATATGCACAAGATGATCACGTATTGCTCTGACAGATGAAATGGATAAAGGAAACAGTGATAATTGTAGACAAACATAATAAGATGCAGATAGGAAGAAATGATAAAAGCTTATTTTTTTAATTTTTTATTTAATAAAAGTTACAAGCTGATCTTGATAATGTGAAAAAGTATTTCAAGGAAAAGCTCTTCACGCGCTGCTGCTTTGCTTTAAGAATAGCAAAGACCTAAGGCCAATTAGATAACAGTCTTAAGTTTTTATATCATAGAACATACAAATTGCATGGGGTGTTGTTTCTTGAAAAAAATAATAAAATACATTTTTGAATGTTTGGTCAAAGGAGAATAAAAGTTTAAAAGAAAGTGTCCCGCCCCTTCTTTTATTTTTGCTTTTGCTGTGGTGTAGTGCTTATCATGGAACTGTTCGGCTCAACAGGTCCCCCAGTTTGATCCTGTGCAGCAGTAACATTTTTTAAAATTTGCACTTTCAAATCTTTTAAGACACTGTTTTCTATGTTTTATTAGCAGAAGAGAAGGACGAAGCTACTGAGACACTGATGCAAACCTGAAGACATAGTTCCCTTGGATGAAATAACTTACTTGAGTCGATAACTTGGAATCATCTTGGAACCCATAGTAAGAAATTTTGACATTAGGTGATTAGGCTTCAACAGTAATTGTTTCATAAATTGTTATACAAATGCCACATGCACACCCACAAACACACACACACACACAGAGAAAGAAGGAGGGAGATTTTACCTGTACAGAAACAAGTGAAAGGCCTATCCATTTGCACATTTCATAGTTTGACTTGATGAAATTCTTGAACTGATCGAAATTCCCCGAGGAATCCTTAGGGAAGTCCTGATTCCAATTTTCAAGTTAAAATGGATCAGACAATGGCTTACATCAAATGTCTTACAGAGAGAGAAGCTACAAAAGCATTGAATTAGCAAAAACACTACTGAGAAACAGTTTTTATATACAGTATACCTTCTCCCAGTCCCGGTTTAGAAATACATCAACAGATACTGCAGCCTCCACCATGAGAAGCAAAACCACAAACAACATATACTTTAAGCAGTCAAGGTATAAACAGTGCCTAAAAGACACAATGACCGCCAAATGATATATTTCTCCAATTGAAAACAATGCTACTGCTGTTTCGGGCTGTTTGAAAGCTCTATTCAGAGCAGCAAATTAAAATTTTCATCACTGAAAATTATTAGTGGTTGTTTGTTTCATACATACCAAAAGTGAAATTAAGTGAAAAGAGCCAAAATCATTCATTATACAGGGGATCACTGAATACATTCAGCAGCAAACATTTCCCTATTTAAGTTTAACTGATACTAATTACCCTAAATATTGTATTATTTATTTTATTGGTAACGCCTGACAAATTGCAAGAATCAATGACTGTCCCCACACATTAACACGAGACTTTTCAGTGTGCTTTGTCCTCACTCGCACACTTCCCAGGAAAACTTCCCAGGAGGTCACCCATCCCAGAATTGCTCCAAGTCAAGCACGCTTAACTGTGGAGTTCTTCCGATCCGGGCTACCGAAAAGTAGATGCATCTTGTTAGTATAGGTAGTACCAATTAATTCTTATAAGCCATTCCTAACTGTACCGTCCCATACCAGCACAGTCTCTGGAATCCCTCTCTTTCCGGTGTTGATTCGATTCATTCATGAACCCCCAAGCTACAAGATTTGGCATGAGCCGCTCATTGTCCGTGCCCTTTCGCACCGGCGATCACTCCCTGCCTTTGCCAGCTCTTGGGATGTTACATGCCCACCAGCTTCCGCCTGGTTCGTCCTCGAACCACACCGTACTGGACGAGAGGCCCTGCTCTGATACCACTTGTAACGCCTGACAACTAGCAAGAATCAATGACTGTCCCCACACACTAACACGAGACTTTTCAGTGTGCTTTGTCTTCACTCGCACACTTCCCGGGAAAACTTCCCAGGAGGTCACTCATCCCAGAATTGCTCCAAGTCAAGCACGCTTAATTGTGGAGTTCTTCCGATCCGGGCTACCGAAAAGTAGATGCATCTTGTTAGTATAGGTAGTACCAATTAATTCTTATAAGTCATTCCTAACTGTACCGTCCCATACCAGCACAGTCTCTGGAATCCCTCTCTTTCCGGTGTTGATTCGATTCATTCATGAACCCCCAAGCTGCAAGATTCGGCTTATAAAAAATAAAATTTGTCTAATATACATTTAGCTCTTCAAATCAAAATTCTCTAATTTAGATGTCAAAAAATTGCTTAAAGATATCATAAGAGTATTATAATAATGGTTCATATGATTTTGATATTTTATATGATACATATATAGCTTAATATATATGTTTTGTTGTATCCTGCTATACTCAGTATCCTAAATTCAAAGAAATGTCATAAACTCATGTTGCATGGGTGTAATATCCCATACCAGTGTCTGTATTTGTGCAGCACAGATTGAAAATATAATGGTAGACTCAAGAAAAGGATACCAAATACAGGCAACAACCATTAGCAGTTTCAGCAGCAATGTGACCGGAACAAGTGATCACACAGAACGTAACTCCAAGGCCGAGAAAGGTGTAAATGAACCTGATTGCAAAAAAATAAAAAAATAAGCAATTCGTTCACAATCTATCCATACAGATCAGAAGAACTTGATAATTTTACAAAAAAGAAGCATACATGCAGGAAATACTGAGTCTTGAAACAAACACCATTCTGATCAAACATAGAAAGCATACAAATTTTAGGTGCCAACGCAGTATAACTCTCAAAATGAACATATCCTAAACCAGCACCCCTGCTCAAACAATCCAGCTTATACATAACTCCATTAAAATAACCGGTTCTCTTAATTCAATCAATAGCTTGGAAGTGAACAGAATGCAAATTAGGAATTTTATAGCTTTATCATGTCAAACATAAATTCCCAATAAACAATTCTCTTTTAGGCCATTATTTCCTTTAGTTTCTAAAATATGATCTTTCATTCAACAAATTAATAACAAAAACAATAAAAATCCATTAATCTTAGAAAACCAAATCATTTTTTTTTTCTCTTCTACTTAACAACTTTCGCATTCAGGATATTCACATCTTATTTTCACGGGTCAATCAAAGTCCAGAATTTTCTCATCCATCCGCACAAGGGTTAAAAAAGGGGCTAGGAAAAAAAGAGAGAGGGGATTTTTACCACGGAGGTGGGTAATCAGAATCGTGAGCAAATGGAAGCTCACCCATCTGCCTCTGCCAAACCCTAATCATCCAAGCGGAGTATAGAATCATGGCTAACCCAGCCATCCCAATCACCGAGTTCACCAGCTTCAATATCGATTGGATGCAGCTTCTCAACACCCACACCATTTTCTTTACCAAATTCCAATTCACAAAACAAAAAATAAAATTGAGTGAAAAAAATAAAAAAAATTAACCCCCTGAACTGAATGAAAGCAAAATTTTAAGATAGAAATAAAATGCAAGAAACCCTAGATTGAACTCTAGGGCTCGAGCGCGTATCAATCAATTCGAAGATAGCAAGGAAATTGTTTTTTTTTTTTCCTTTTTTTTCTTTTTTGGGGTAACAGAAGGGATTGGAGATTGGTTTCTTCTATTGACTATATTAGGGGGCCGAATTTTTTAAACCATTATGACGTCTGCTCCTATTTCGTTATAAAAGGTCCCGGTTCGATCCTGGGCAGCAACAGAGTTTTTTGCTTTGAAGTTTCGTAATTTCTATTTCAATTGTATTTACAGCACTATCAATTTGAAATTTTTGTAAGTCCAACTGTATGAACCTCTTACGGGGAAATTAATTTTTGTGTTCCAATTTCATGAACCTCTATTTGGAAATTTGTTCAAGGACCTTATGAGTTTTCCAAATGGAAAATGATGATTTGTATTGTATCCAAGGAATTCGTAAAAATTATTTGGTTAGCTGATAGGATAAGACAAATATGTATATTAATTGAAAAGTTATTTTATGTAGGAGTGTTCATAAACCGATCCAAACCCCAAAAACTGAACCGAAAAATCGAAAATCGAAATAACCGAAAACCGAAAAAAACCGCAAATATTTACTGAATTGAATCGGTTTTCAGTTTGGATGTTGAAAATCGATCCAAACTTATTTTCTACCAAATTGGGCCTATCCCAAATAATAGCAGCCCATGAGCTTTGAAGTGAAAGGCAAAAAAAATTCTAAACCTAATAGAGAAGGAAAGAACAAAAACACTACGTGATGACAAATTTTGGCATTTGCCTAGCAACATATATAATTGTATAAGTATTTTAAAACCAATTCTTAATCATAACTAGATTCAGGTAGAAATCCTTCTCAATTGCTAGTTATATAAAGGTCAAAGTTGAATTACATATGAGAACATTAAATAGCTCGGATAATATAAATGTAGAAATACAAACTACCAAGGATCCATGACAAATAATACTCCTCATTTTTCTAAAATTAATTCTTATAAGTTCTGTTTTTTTGGCTTTTCAAAAAACCGAAAATCGATCCAATCCAAACCGAAAAAAATTGGATCGGATTGGATCGGATTTGAAAAAAAATTCAAATCGATCGGATGATGTAATGACCAAACCGAAGGAATTGGATCAGATGTTTTTTTGCTTCAAAACTGATCCAATCCAGACCGCGAACACCCATAAATTTTTATGCATGTTAGAGATATAATATAAGGGAAAACATTTTTTTGTTTTTTTTTTGTAAACAAAAAAGGGCACAAACCCAAACAAAGAGAAAGCAAAACAAAGAAACTATCCAGCAAGAGACACAAAACATTCCCTTCCCACAGATGCCAGATCTCCTAGATAAATCAACAAAACACCACTTGGAGGTTCCTGAAAATATCTCTGGTCAGCTTGATCAGGAGAGTCAAGCAAGAAATTGGCCAACCAGTCAGCACACATGTTTCCCTCCCTGAAAGTATGTTGAAAACAAACCCGCCAGTCCTTGTCTAACATTGTCTGTATACGAGAGATAAGTTTTCTCTCACAGACTGCTACACCACAATTGGTGAGCCCCGTGATTGCCAAAAGCGAATCACTCTCCGTAATGATACTTTTATAACCCTCACTCCAAGCCCGTTCTAAACCCTTCAAGATACCCCAAAGTTCAGCCTTGAAAGAGGAACAAATGCCTAACCTGAAAGCAAAACCTCCTAACCATTTTCCTTGCGAGTTCCGAATAACACCTCCACAAGCTTCCCAACCAGGATTCCCTCTAGAAACCCCATTAGTATTCACCTTCATAAAACCATGGTCTGGAAATTGCCAAATAATATTCAAATATGCAGAGCTCGGCTTTAGTGCAATAAATCAGACCTATTAAAAGCATTATCAATATCCAACACAAGATTGTTAATGAAAACTACTTTATTTGCAGTAGATGGTACTTCTTCTCCATAATTAGTCATATTTCTCCAATGCCATATCTTACAGCAAGCCACCAAGAAAGTTGAAAACCAGCCTTGCACCATTGATGGAGACTGCTCACTAAACAGATTGATATTAATCCACTGATTCAAATCTGCAAAAGAAAACCCAGAAATGTTATGAGAAAAAATGAGGCTATCCCCCACTCCTCTAGCACCATTGCAGTCCCTTAAAGCATGAACTATCGTTTCTATATCAGCTTTACACACAGGGCAAATATTATCTCCTCCATTCCAACTAGCTATTGTGCTTTTAGTAAGAAGACGATGGTGAAACAGCTTCCAGGAAAAAAATTTAATTTTTTGCGGTCCCTTCCATTCCCACAACCGTTTCCACCTTTTTTTAACAAACTCATCTACCTCTCCAGGAGAAGATAGATAATCATAAAGAGCATTAACAAATAAAACATTTGACCCCGGAAGCATCCACACCCTTTTATCAATCCCATCTTCTATCATAGGAGGAGGAATGCCACAAATTATATCAAGAATATTACTTGGAAGCCATGTTCTCAGCTTATCAAAATCCCAGTCACCTGAAGCAGAAACAGCCTCATTAACCTTCATGCTATCTAGCAAATGCCAACTATCATGTGACAAGAACTCCTCAAGGTTGCAAGAAAAAGGAAGCCATTTGTCCTTCCAAAAATAAATTTCCCTATCATCACCAAGCTCCCAAACCAAATTATCTTCCATGACATTCCAAATTTTGCAGAGATTACTCCACAAGCTAGAATCTCCCTTTCGATATTCAAACAGAGAATCCCTCCTATTTCCATTCTTATATTTTGCATGAAGTAACATGGACCCAAAGATGATTTGGTTCCGAGAAAACTTTCCAAGCTTTTTTGGCTAAAAAGGCATCATTCATTTGAGTCAATCTACGCAAACCCAAACCACCCGATAACTTAGGATAAGTAATGACATTCTAGCTAATGGCATGGTGCATTCTTACATTATCCTTATCCCCCCAGATAAAATTTCTCTGCAATTTTTCAATTGTTTTACAAACCCTTAAAGGCAACTTACAACTTTGCATTTGAAAGGAAGGAATGGAAGCCAATACTGATTGAGATCCTCCCTGCTTGAGATAAACAATTTTGCTGCCAGCTGCTCAGCTTATCTTTCACCTTCTCCACTAGACCTTCATAAAGGCTTTTAGAAACTCTACCTTGCTGCATCATAGCCCCAAGATATCTTCCCAAATTGACCCCTTTAAACTCGCTAATTTGAACTACTTTAGCCATCACATCTGCCGCAGTATTTTTCGAAAAATACACACAAGTTTTATCCACACTAAGTCTCTGGCCTGACATATCTTCAAACAGCTTAAGGCATTTCAGCAAAATAGCAATTTGATCTTCTTTTGCCACCATAAACATCATTAGATCATCTGCAAAAGCTAAATGTGAAATCTTTGGACCACCCTTGCCAGCATGCATTGGTTTCCATAAGCCTCCATTGACAGCAGTAGTGATGATATGCGAAAGTTTTTCTATTGCCAAAACAAACAGATACAGAGAAAGTGGATCACCTTGACGAAGACCCCTTGATGGACAAAAATCCTCTGTTTTCCCCCATTCCAGAGAAAATTAATACGGGTAGAAGATAAGCAATGCATTATAATATTAATGAAAGCAGTAGGGAAATGAATCTCTTCCAAAGTATTACGCATAAATTGCCAGCTCACTCTATCATAGGCTTTAACAAGATCAATTTTAATTGCCATAAAATCCTTTTTACCTCTCATTTTGGTCATCGAATGAGTAAGCTCTTGAACAATAGTTATATTGTCTTGAATCTGCCTATTCGGTACAAAGCTGACCTGAAAAGGAGAAACAATTTTCTCCATCAAATGCTTGAGCCTGCAAACAATGATTTTCGTAAATAGCTTGTAGATGACTGAGCATAACGATATTGGCCGGAACTGAACAATGGACTCAGGTCTCTTTGTTTTAGGAATAAGAACCAGCAAGGTTGAATTAACATCCCCTATTGATCCCGGATTTGTCCACATGCTTTTAATAGCACTACAAATTTGTGCCTTTAACCTATTCCACTGTCTTTGAAAGAAAATGGCTGGGTAACCATCAATACCAGGGACTTTATAAGCACCCATTGAGAAAAGATTCTTTCTGATCTCATACTCATTAGGAATAATCCCCAAAGCTTGAAGATTCTGCTGAGACAATTTAGTCCACATGCTTTCCGAATCTAACCATCTTCGATCGGAGTCTTCCTCCGTGAAAAGATCTTTAAAGAAACTATAGACATGCTCTTTTAATTCAAAAGGGTCTTCAATCCATGTATTCGTACTGTTACGCAGTCTAGAAATTCTGTTATGCGCCCTTCGAGTCACAGTTTTAAGATGATAAAACCTCGTATTCTTGTCTCCATCAACTATCCATTTATGTCTAGATTTTTGAAACCATATTTGTTCCTCCTGATGCAGAGTTATATTCAGAAGATTCTGCAAATGCTCCTCAATTTCTTGCAACCTATGACAGTCCATTGACTCCCTTTGAGCCTGGACATCAGCAATTTTTTTTAACAAAACCCCCTTCCTGTTATTAATATCTCCAAACACTTCTTTGTTCCACTTCTTCAGATGAGGGATGAATCTAAATAACATACTATTAACATCTGACTCATCTCTCCATCTCTCCATCATCAGATCCTGAAAGTTTGGGTGATCCATCCAGGTAGCCAAAAATCTGAAAGGTCTATCAATCCAATTCTGCTGCCGTTTTGTCAACGAAAGAATGATAGGATTATGATCAGATAAGAATCTGGGAAGAGCTTGGACCTCAGCATCTTCAAAAGAAATTCTCCAATTCACATTAGCACGACTGTGTCCAACTTCTTAAAAACTCTGTCCAAATGATTCCATTTGGGGCCCTGCCAAGTGAATTTATTCCCCATACCACCAACATCCTCTACATTACAACTGTCCAGGAAATCTTGAAATCTACGGCATTTAGCAATATCAGGTGGAGAGCCTCCTTTTTTCTCACTACTACACCTAATATCATTAAAATCCCCTGCCAAGATCCAAGGCTCAAAAATAGAATGGCTCGTTTGAACAACTTCCTCCCACATAGCATGTCTTATATCCTCATTAGGATTGGCATAAACAGTTGTGCATAAGAAACTGTAGCAGTCACCAATATCCACTTTCATATGAATAAATTGTCTTGATTGCCCTATGAGTTGAACTTTAACTTTCCTAGAATCCCATAACACCCAAATTCCTCCATAAAAACCAATTGCTTCTTCCACAATAGCCTTATCAAATCCTATTCTTCTCATCAATTTGCTACTGATATCTCCCCTTGTTCCAGTTTCCATGAGAACAACCATACACAGATCATGTTTATCTACCAATTGTTTAAGGGTGCGACCTAATTTAGACTTAGCCGCCCCTCTACAATCCAAAATAGCAAAGACATTAAAAAGATTGAGATGATTGGGCATGCAAAGAATACCCTTGTTTCTTCTTAAACTCTGGATTATTATCCATTCTAACTCGATGCAGTGCACTCACCTTTTGACGACCATTCGATACCTTTCCACTAGCTAATTGGGCATCAGGAGGCTTTGGTGCAGGCATTTTAGAAAAATCAATCCTCCTATGTCCTTTTTGAGCAGAGTGAGACATATTCACAGAAGATAACTTGTTTTGGATTGAAGGGACCTCACCTTGGCCTCCTTTAGTAGATCCTTGGGCTCCATCTGGAGACTCTTTCTCCATATTTAACTACTCATCAACTATCAACTGACTGGTTTGGTCCTCCTCTTGACTCTTGTTCACCTCTCCTGTGGGCTTATCAACAATCATATTATTCCTCACATCAGCTTCATTAACCTATTCATGTTCGTCCCCTACCACCATAAAAGTAGAGGAGGTTTCAATAACTTTGGTTGGAGATTTCCCTCTTTTCCTAACTTCTTTTACTGCTTCCACCTCCATTTTTGATTGATACTCTCCCACTTCCTGCTGATCCATAGCATGATCATTCAGCTCTTTTTGTATCTGATCATTTCCCCATTTTCCTTTTCTTGCCACAAAATACTGAATCTTGATACACTCCCATCTCCCTGTTTGCTTGAATTCATATTAGAAAAATCTGCCTTCGGCATCTGATCAAAACCACTTCTATTATTTCTCCTTTGTTTATTCACCAACATCCATGGTCCAAACCTATTTTCCTTCTTTGTTTCATTGTCATCTTGTCCCTGTTCCATGTTTAGCTCCGCGGTTACCTGAACAATAGAATTAACCTTCACATTACAATTTTTTGTGCGATGACCTTACACTCCACACCCGTAACAAATCAAATGCAGTCCCTCGTATTCAACTTTTTTCAGTCTCCTCTTAATTTTGTATTCTGCTTGAAGCGGTTTACTCAGGTCCAGTTCAACACATATTCTCGCGAATTTCCCTCTAGCCAAACAATTTGTGGCACCATCCATCTTTATGAATTTACCCAGCCAATTACCTACCTCCTTGAGCAAATCTGTGTTCACATACTCTACTGGGAAACTAGGAAGTTTGACCCAAGCCATGATTCTACCAATAGAACTTGAATAGGGATTAAAATCAGGTTCCCATAACCTGATAACATGATAGTGATCAAACAAAACCCACGGGCTTGCCGTGAGGGCAAAATCCATATCTTTCTGAATAGCAAACCTCACAAGAAAAAATCCATTCTCCACATCAGTAACAAAAATTTGCCCTTCCCGAGCCCACATATTTTCAAGCCTCTTTTTCATTACAGGAAGAGCCAATTTTTTCCCCAATAGCTTCACAAAAATCGCCTTCCTCCATGGTCTCCATGCTTTGTTTTTAAAAGAATTTGACAATTTAAAATTAGTCATACCTTCCTCATCAGTTTCACACTGGATTTCAGAAGGCTTTTCTGTTTCGGTTTGCGCATCCTGGAAGTGATCCTCCTCTTGCTCTGAGCCTTCCTCCTTGTCTGCAACATGCATCTCCCATTCACCATTATGCCGTATTAGCATTTCTTTAAAGGACATCTTCTCCCCCATCCACTCTTCCTCTCTTTGAACCAAAAAATAATCATTACTGAAAACATCATCTATTGACTTTGGCTTCTTTTTACTCCGTTGCAGGTTATCTGCTTCTTCTTTGGACAGCTCCTTCGGTGTTTCCTATAGGATTACGGTGCTAGGGTTTTCTCCCATCACCCACTGTGCCTTTTTATATGATACTAATCGGTTGCACTTCAGAAAGGAGAAGATCGCACCGTCACAAAAGATAGAAGTCAATCACAAAAGGTAGAAGTCAATCGGCGCTAGGGTTTCCACCCACTGTGCAATTTTTTTTTTCTACAAGTGATCTTTCAATTTTTGTGCAGCATTTTTTTTATTTTATTTTTTTAATAAATGTGAATCCCACACACAAAATGTGTCTATAGCATAAGAAAAATTTCTCCTATTGCATGAAAAAAAATTAAAACTCATAACATAATATATAAAATTATTTATTGGTTTTTACTAGGGGTGTTCATCAACCAATCCAAACCGATTCAAACAGTCGAACCAAAAAATCGATAACTGAATAAATCGAAAACCGAAAAAAAACCACAAATTTTAATTGGATTGGATCGGTTTTCGGATTGGTTGATGAAAATCGATCCAATCCAAACTGATCCAATACATTAATTCCCCTCTTCCTACCTGGACTTTTCCCCAATCATAGCCAAAAAAATTCTAAACCCAAGACCCATTAACCTATAAACTAAACCCAAGAAAAAACCTAGCCACATTCTATCAGCAAAATTTTATCTGTGTAGAGCTTCATATCTCATTGCCCCAAAAAAAACTGTATTATCGTTTATAGATGCTTCTGTTTTTCAAAAAAAAAAAAACTTTACAAAGCAAATATATACAAAAGATATGTTATTTGCACAATAATCATGAAATAAATTTTAGGCATTTCAAAAATTCGAAAGCCGATCCAATTCAAACCGAAAAAAATTGGATTGGATCAGATCAGATTTGAAAAAAAATTCAAACTGAATGGATGATTAATGATCAAACCGAAAAGATTGAATCTGATAATTTTTTTTTCCAAAATCAATCTAATCCAGACCCTCGAACACCCCTAGTTTTTACCTAAATGAGAGTTAATTGTATAGTATCAGAGCCTATGAAATCTCATTTTTCCCATGATCATTTTAATAAATATTGTGGAATATATTAACATTTGTTGGTGGACATGTAAATTGTACACTTTTGAAGTCCAATAAACTTAAAAACATAATATAATATATAAAATAATTCATATACTTTTATCAAAGAGAGAAGTATATTTACAAACTTTTTTTTTTACAAACTACACTATGTACTAGGAGTAGTATACTATGTGCTAAAATATACTACCCCTAATACATGGTATAATTCATAAGAGTTTGTAAAAAAAAAAATTTATAAATATAAATTCTCCCTTTATCCAATAGTTATGCTTTGAGGAGAATTGATTCCATCACAATGCATTTCCTGTAATCATCAGTCTTTCCATATTTTTAATCTTTTGACGTTTTCACATTGTGACTTGCAAAAGACAAATCAGGTAACAATGGTACACACAATCGAAGAACTTGTTTCTTGAGAATCATATCAACTTCCCTTCTTGAAAAACAAAAGTAAAAAGCACAAGTCCTCTTATATTAAACGCTTGTCAATCATTACTCAAAATTGTCGTTTAAATTGGCCATACAACATACATAAAATGTTTATTCAATCTCTCCTTCAATTGGAATCGAAGTCCAAATACATTCTATAGGCATTTCTATCTGAGGAGTAGTAGCCTTCAATCAAACTGTCAACTTGGAAACCATGTTTCTTGTAAAGATTCAGTGCAGGGGTCCTCAAGGGATCCACGTGAAGCATTAGGCGCGAAACTTTCCTTGCCCTGCATTTCTGAATTGCCGCTTTTAGAAGTGCCTCTCCATGGCCTTGCCTCCTCCATTGCTCCTTCACTAGTAAAACCAAAATATGACATACTGAGGCAGAAGCTTCTGGGAATTAGGGGGGAAGGAGAATTTAGAAACGAAGGATGAGGGAAAATATTCATCAGTTTTCTCACCTTTTTTTCTGCCTCAAAGGGCTATTTAACTATCATCAGTTCAACAACAATCGTTCAAGAAAAAACAGACCAGCTAAACAACAATTTGACTTTAATGTTTATACAGTGAATAACGTCGTTGTTTTGAGATGAAAGATTAAAAAATTATAATGATAAAAATTATTATAATTTTAGAATAAATCTTAAATACAAAAATACTTTTATTTTTACACTAAAATCCCCATTGACGTAGATAAAACAAACCCAAAAGTAAACTTCAAATGGGACAACTCCTAAGTAACTACAAGCCCAGTTATCCTATTGCGTTTAGGCTCTTTACAATTGGGCTGGTGCACAACACATACCCATGTTGTAAATAACCAAAAAATTGAAGATTCAATACAAACATTTCAGTAGCTGGGGGTCATGAGGGCGACCCAAAAGACGAAATTAGTGTCATCTTTGCAAGCAGTAAAAAAGCTTCGATCTTTATGATATCAAAAAAAAAAAAAAAAAAAGCTTCGATCTTTTTAATTGGACAATTTCATCAAACAGCTTGCGGTCATAACTTAAACTTAAACTTAGAACGACAACACAAAAATTAACATTGGAAAGACGAAATTTGAAATTTTGAATGCAACCCTTAGTTCGTGGTTAAGATGTAAGCAAGAAAACGAAGTGGGGTTGGAACCTGCGAGCTTGGTGATAGAGGCGTACAAGGAAGAAGGCCAAGAATACATGACATAGCCAACAAGTTCGCCATCCGCGTGAAGATAAAGCAAACCACTGTTCTTCTTTCTCAGTTCATCTTCAAAGAATGAAGCGAGTGATTCGTGCTTGGGAAAGATCTTTCTCTCCAATTTCACTATCTCTTCCACTGTCTTAGCACAGTTTTTGTCAAGCTCAACAATCGCCACATTCGCCATTACTAGTGACTGAACCAACTATTACCGGATGGCCTTGTAAGTTAAAAACTATATATTTTGATGGGCTTTGTATCTCTTATTTAATAGGAGAGGAGAGACTTTGCAGCTGACTCCAATTGTAGGTGGGACTCGCTAACATTTTTTTCTTTTCTCATCCACTTCACTCTTGTGTCTACGACATAAGAAGAGTCATTTTGCACTAACAAAAGATGTATTTAACCCTATTTTGATTCTATTCCTATACATTGGTGATCTGATGAGCGGAAATTTATTGCCTGGTCTTTATTTTCTTTTTTTTCTCCCTCTCTCTCCTCTTTCCTCTTTCTCTCTCTATTTTTTTTCTCTCTTGAAGGAGCAATGAGTCGGGAGCACTACATTTTCTCTCTTGATAAGCACAGACACGTTGATTTTAGAAAAATTTACATGTCGGACAAGTGTCCGACACTGACACGCATCCAACACGCAGTCAATATTTGGGAACATGCGGTCAACTCTCCGACACGTTATGACACATTTTTCCGACACGCAGTCGTTCGGACAAGCTCGGACACGTTTTTTTTTTAATTTTAATTTTATTTTGTTAACTAAATATAAAAGAAATAATTTATAAATTAATTTTTTTTGTTATAAAATTTGACATGAAAAATTAACAAAGTACGAATAATTATTTATATTTATATTTATATGAAATTTAAATATTTGATTGGTTATATGACTTATTATGGACTCTTATATGTATTAAATATAAATTATATTATATATATTAAAATTTTTATTTAATATCAAAACGTGTACTAACGTGTAAAAATCTAAAAAAAATTAGAATTAATGTCTTGAAATGCAATGATGTGTTTTGTGTCCATAGAAAATGACCTATTATTATATTGTTATTATGATCTCATGCATTATTGCACATACCACTCTGTCACCCTTCAGGGGAAAGAAGAATGTCACCCGCCATCAATTATTTTCTACAGAATGTACATAAGAAGTTCGAGAGTTGCATGAATGATTTCCCCCTCTCATCAGTTATTTTCTTTATATAGTGATAAACTCCAAGATATAATTTTCTTACATCAACTTATTTCACCAAAATACATGATACCACTCTACCAACTTCAGAAATGAATAATGACAGCCAACAATGGAAAATCCAATTGAAACGTCATTATCCAATAACAAAGATTGTGTTGTGTAGTATTTTTAGTTCCAATTATTAGATTTGTTGTATTACGATTACTATTTTATTGAGTTTAATATAAATATTTGTAATATCTTATGTTTCTTTACAAAATTGATAAGTATTATAAGTTTAACTTCATTTTTTTGTTAAATTATTGAATATTAAATATAATATATACTTTTATAAAAAAAAATATAATATACGCTACATAAATTAAAAATATTATTTAATATCAAAACATGTCAAAATTGAGTTGACAATTCCTGGTTGACTTTGTTGATCTTATGGCAGGTTAATCAGAAGATGATTCTCACTCTTGCAGCTAGCATAATGTATTGGTGCTTGCAACAACAAAGTGAAGATGCAGATTCATTTCCTTCACCTGCTGATACTGCTACTGCCACCACAACTGAAGCATCCCCATCCCCTTCAGTTTGTGGTGAAGATGAAATTTCCTCACTTGGTGGTGAATTCTCCAACTTCAGTGTTGATGATGCCACCTCTGACACAACAGTCTCTTCACAACTTGAGTCTGATGGTGTTCCTGCAAGAGATGAGCTATTATGAGTCTAGTTTGTAAAGCTTTACACGACATGAGATGAGTCTGAAATGTTTTTGTTAGAGCAACAAAATGTAGCAAAGCTCAAGATGCACCTCCTACAAGGTGTCAACCTCCAAAAAAAGTTATAGAATAGATGTGAATAGTTTGTACAAAAATATCTTGTTCTTTGGAGAATAATGCTAAATGAGAGGGAACAGAATAAAGAAGAGAGAGGGAAATGAAAATTGATCTATAGGGGTATATATAATCAACTTCACCCTTATTGCTGGGTTCTTCTTTAGGTAGCTTCCACTATTGTCTTTTGTATTTTTTCATTCATTACTTATTCATGTTCATGCTTCATTATAAGAAGCTTTAGGCTCATAGGAATGTCTCTCGTCTCAAGTTATAGTAGGGTAATATTGAATGTGTTATGGATTATTATTGTGACAATAGTCTTATTCTATCTTAAATAATTCCATATTAATCAGTGAAATAAGTCTTAAATTGTTGGCCTTCATTAATGGTTAACGGCTAAGATCACAGGAGTGGCAAAGTTCTTTCTATCAAATTAATGAGCCTTTTTCTGTTTTTGGCAGTTACATATACTTTTCCGTTATATCTTGAATGCTGATCAATTTTTTTTTTTGGAAGGTAATGCTAATCAATTTTCTTCTAATAATAATATAAACAAAATAGTAAAACTATTTTCAGTCTAGTTTATTCAACATATTAATTAGTACACATATGAGAAATTACATTGACTTTTGCTCTATTGAATATAATTCTAAATTTACATTGCTATCTTCGTTTGGAAGAACTAGCCCTTAGTTTCCCCTCACAATGCCCAAATGGATTCAACCCCCAACTGTAGGCCGTAGCTATCAAAATGAAATGAATTTGATGTGCTTTGGAGTTAAAACTAATGAGTAATTGCAAAGTTTTCTTTTATAAAATTTATTTTAATTGTTAGAGCTATTTATTACTTTAGATATATTTGATGTTCAATTGATTTGTAATCAATTAGGTTTATTTTAGACAAAAATTTTATTTTCTTTTTATGAGCGTTTAATGTGATTATGTTATGATTTTTTAAGATTTTTTTATTTTCACTTAATTTTTTTTTGTACAATTCTTTTACAACATGAAGTTTTTCCTTTTTCTTTTCTCGTTTTTTTTTAAATATGTGAAGAATAAAATGATTCAAAAAATTACTACACTTAAAAAGTTCATATGTTCATAAAATCTTGTAATTATTATAAAACTATTAACTTTTTGAAATAAAACATTTAATAATGTCATGAATTTAATATAATTAATATATGAGATAATAATATTGATATCTTTACAAAAATATATAGTATTAAATAATTATAAATAGCACAATCGTAACGACTAAGGGATTCTTTTGTTAATATAATTAGCGGTAAATTCTTAGCCACGCGTTGAAGTATAATAGCTGTAGGCATTGTTCATTCTCCCTCTCTCCTCTTCTTGATCTCTTGATAGATAAAGTTGTTTCAATTGTCCTGTATTTTATGGTATAGTGATTTTTTGTTTTCACAGTTAAATTGTTAAATTTTAATCGTTGATTTCTGATAATCGAATGATTATAATTTATTAAAAATTAATAAATAATTAATAAGAAAAACATATATCCTTTTAAAATATATAAACTTATATCATTTTAGATCCTAACCGTTAATTTTCGTACATCAACGATTATAATCAATTGGATCAAACTTAATGGGCTAAATTTATTATTAATTAAATAATAATTTTGATTTAATAAATTATAACCGTTGATGGACGAAAATCAATGATTAGGATCTAAAATGATATAAGCTTATATTTTTTAAAATGACCGATGTTATTTCCTTAATTAATTAATAAGTATGACCCAGTAAATTATAACCATAAAATTAACAAAAATTAATGACTAAGATTTAATAATGAGAAATAAAAAAAAAAGATAATAAGTATAAAGTTCCATTTATAATTTACAATTTGTTTTAATCAATTAAGATGTGAATAATAACCGTTAAAACGTTAAAATAAAAGCCAAATCAAATCTATAATCAAATTTGATTAGATTCTTATATCTGTTCTAAGCAAATTTTCAATTAGGCCCATTGACCAGCAATTCCAATTTCCAAAGTAAGTATAAGATTCTGTTTTGATATGAAGATTTCATTACTATTCGTAAAAAAACAAATCTTTAAACAATCTGTGAAGATAATTTCCTATATTAAAGGCCTAAAGCAATGCAATGTATAATCGCGCGAAAATCTGGTGAGGGATTTCAGCAATTACAGTTGTATGTAGGCGTTGTTACTCCTTTTAATCCTTATTCTTCTTCTTCTTCTCTCATTGTTTTCTTATACTCTCTTCTCTGTTCTCTCTTTCTTTCTGCCTTTCTTGCTATTCAAGGTTGCTTCACTACTCCATGATGCTGCTGCATTGTCATTCTTTTTTATTCTTTAAATTATTCAACGTTCTCCTTTTTCGATTTTAGGGTTTAGGGTTCTACTTGTTTTCCGAAGTTTATTCTGTTTCTGTTGATTTCCACTACCGTTGCATGTTGCAATTAATTATGTTTCTGTTGATTTCCACTATCGTTGCATGTTGCAATTGATTACACCCGTTCACCTATGGCTACGATTGTTGATATCTGGGAAGGATTTAATTTTAAACCCTAAGCCGTTAAGGTTTTTTGTTGTGTACATTTATTTTATCGGTTACTCACTCCTTTATTTGATTTTTTTTTAGTGTGTGAAGAAGTCTTTTGGGATGAGAAGGGATATGGCGTATTCAGATGACGAAGCTGAGGCCGTGTCTTTGTGCGTGTCAAATTACCACCTTGAAGATGAAAAGGATATGCCGGTATCTTTTTCTGTGTTGCCAGTTCAATGGGGTGATTCTGAGAATTCTGATGATGCCAACAAAGAGCAGGTATTCCTGCATGGTTTGGCCGATAATGGGCGGCAGAGGATTTTCATGCAAGTAATGGGGTGGAGATTTGATCTTTCCAATGCGAAACCCGAGATATCCTTGCTATCAAAGGATAGAAAGTGGATCAAGCTTCAGAAACCAAGGAAGAGCTTTATGGATACTATAAGGACCATTTTAGTCACCATTCACTTCCTGCATCGTGTAAAGCTGAATCCCCAAACATCTGCAAAATCTGTCTGGGATAACTTGTGTAAAAATAAGGAGTTGAGGTGTGTTTTTTTTTTCCAAACTTCTGGTTTTTTCATTTTCTGATACTAATTTCTGCAAAGTACATTTCGTGACATATATATTTTTTTTTTTTGGAAATTATTTCTAGCTCTTACGGTTTTAAGCCTTCTCAAAATGATATATCGGAACATATGCCTTTAATTGGTGAAGCTGCCAAAAGGGATGCCGCCTTATCTAAATCCAAGGTTTGTATTTCCTTTTTCAAAGACATTCTGGTATTAAACTAGAAAACTAGCATTTTTTCCTCCTTCCTCTACTCCCCTTTGGAAACTAATGATTAATTATGGTTTGAGTTTAACATTATACTTTCAGTAAATTAATTAAACTAACTGCTAGTTGCTAGAAGCTAAAATTTATATTTTCCTTAATTAAAATTTCCTTGAGGTGTGTGTAAGTTGATGCAAGACTTAGAGCTGTTTTTGGGTTATCTTCTTGGTTTCAAGTCTTAGAATGACAGATCATATGATTATACTTTATCATATTTTTTGAGTAGTTCAACTAAATGGTTTTAGTTTCATAGGTAAACGAGCATTACATTTTGAAGTAGATTTTTAATCGAGCAGTGTCTGTCAAGACTCAGGAGGATGTTAAGTGGTGGAATTTGTGAATGTCAATAGTCTTGTTAACAGCATAGGTTTACATTGTTAGCAGGAGGGGATGAATATATGCAATAATAAATAGCTTGTATCATAATGAATCCTTTGAATTTCATTTGAAGGAGGCTACATAAACCTTCTTTGTACTTGGAATTAGATGATGGATCTGAGATTTCTAGTTTGAGAATATGGAGTTCATGAAGTGGATTGTGCACGAATTATACAAGCTGTTTGATCTCAGATACTGTCTTACCTTTAGCAGTTTATATATGTGACGGGGTGTTGGTTGATTCACGTCTCTGTTTCTTTTAATTTTCTCCTTGTTTTGCAACTCTCTTTTTTTTTCTCTTGTAAAATACGTGCCCTCTCATAACAAAATTGTTTAATTATTTTTTACTCTATATTATTTATTATTATTAAGGGCTTAAAAATCCTTTTACTTGGTTCTTTTGCTAAAATTTTTGCTTATACCAACTAACAAAATTTGAATGCTACTTTCCTTTCAATAAAAGGCTTGGTGTCACAAGGCTTTATTGTAGTTGTTCCCATCATATGTGCTTCATTTTAATGACAATTACATGATGATTTCAGCAGTTTTTGCTCTTGGTTTTGGAGAAGAAGTTGGGGATTCAGAAACTTTCGAATGAGGTTTGTTAAATATTTATTTTTCCTTCCATGAAGATGATCTTCTCTGATATTTTTGTTCCTTTTTTTTTCTTTTTATTCAAGTCATATTTATTGTTTTTAATATTTTCTTAAGATTTTAATGCTTGATTTCAGGAAGTTAAAGATTTGGCTCAACTTCAATGTATAGTTGATGATAATGACAATGATATGATAGATGAACCTAGTGAAGAGTCAGAAGCAGAGGAGGATTTGTTTGATTCTATTTGTGCGCTTTGTGACAATGGTGATAAACTTTTGTGGTATGAATTCTTTTTCATATGGGTTAATTTATTATAATGTTTTATTTCTGTCTTGTGTATCTGTGACTATAGATAATTTTGCTAAGAATTATAGGAATAGTAACTCTGAATAGTAATATATTATATTCACATGGTGTGTAATAATGATATATGAAATGCTATTAAAATGGTTCTATTTATACTAATCTTTAAGTACTAGTACCATATGACCAAGGTTATCAAATCGTGATTGTGTGTTTAAGATTTAAAGACACGCGTGGGGTGCTAAATGTGTGAATAAAAGAAAAAATCATTAGTCATAAGGTCATATAGTTGATTCTTGTCATCAAAACATATCTAAGCTCATAAATAAAAAAATCATAATACATAACTGCATATGTAACCTAGTCTAAAAGTAGTTATCCTCCTACTTATCAATCATCAAGTCTAGCATTATTACTATAATGATGAGTTGAGTCATCATCTAACATAATTAATCCTTGTCTTACTATCATCATCTCCTATACCTTATTCATCAGTATGAATGCCTTTTCCTTTATCATTCTTGTGGCAATTCCCTTACTCCTACCCTAACAAGTTGAGGTTTAATGGGGAGTGGTTTTATTTATTTATTTATTTTGGATGACTAATTGATTATATAATATAATCTAAAGAAATTCTACATGAGTCTAAACTTATTCTAAATAAATTCTAACAAATTTCTTATAATGAATTACATGATTTTCTCATTTGCCTCCTTGTTGTAGAATAGTATTTGTTTATATTCATAATTTTAACTTATTGAATGATAATGCAGTTGCGATGGAGCGTGCATGAGGTCATTTCATGCTACTGAGGAGGATGGTAGAGACTCTAATTGTGATTCTCTTGGTTTTACCCGGAAGGAAGTCAATGTATGATAATGTTATTTTCTTTTTATATGTATTTTAGCTGTCCTTTTCCACTTCATATAATCATGTAGAAATTTGTTTTCTTGTGGAAAAAATTTGCAGGTGATCCAGAGATATTATTGTAAGAATTGTAAATATAATCAGCACCAATGTTTTGAATGTGGCAAGCTGGGATCTTCTGATAAAGTTAAGGGTGCTGAGGTATGGCTATGGCAAATAAAATCGCTTCCTCTTTACTTGTTGATTAGTTCATTTATATATTTTTCCATAGCTGGATGATGTGCCACCTAATCCTTGTTAGTCTTTTTAATACAAATTATTCTTTGTTACAATTTTAATCGAGGAGAAAGAGCTTTTAGCATATTCGGCTTTGCTTATACTTTTAATGAAAGGTTTTGGTGATGTATGTGGTGGCACCTTGTTGTAAACGCAAACATCAATGAAGGTCCTAATGGCCACTGAAGATCTCTTGTGCAATTCATTATCTCTATTGCTTTATATTTTGGTTTCTTTGGGGTTTATTGAGTCATGGATCATTCAGTAAATGAGTTGTTTCCTGGCTGGAATGGCTAACCAGAGATCTCAAAAGTTTTGGACGAAGTAGCTATACCTCATTTGAAAGACATGTTTCTGTATTTATACTATTTTTTATTTAATTTTATATTATAGATGCAATGTTTTATTTTCTTTATAAGCCTTCCAGTTCAGATGAGCTGGATGTCAAACGATTTGCACAGAATCCCTGAAAAGGATTGGAGCTGATTTTTTTATTTTTTTTTGCTACACATTCTGTAGCCAGCCCAAGCCTACCTATTGAACAGATTTTGGGGGGAAATACCTTGTATGTTGTAGACCTTATGACCTGAAATGTGAGAAGGGGAAGGGCAATTCCCATATATTTTCCACAACATGCGCTTTGAATCTCTCACTTGCTTTTTGTATTTTTCTCTTCAACAAATATTGACATCCACAAAAATAACCTTCTTTATGGATGCTTTAAATCTTTATTTCAAGAGTTCATGCTGCCTTTATCAGGGATTGAGTTGCCATGATGTTGGTGTTTGACTTTGTAGTACATTGTTTGATTCCTTTGAATTATGATGATTTAAGCCCTATCCAAAAGTACGAGGCAACCTGTTTAAATGGAAAACGCCTAGTTTATAAAAGATAAATTAAATTTTTGCTCAACAGTTTCTTTTACTTATTTTCCGTACAACCTTGATAAGTTAGGAAAACATTGAGGTTTTGGTGAACCTTGTAATATTGGCTGTGCTTCCAAGCTTACCTTCCACATGCCAAGTTAAGTTGTTTATGTATCCTTGTTCTCCTATCATGCATTCCTGTGAAATATTGATTTGAAGACTTAGTTCTCCTGCTTCAAACTCTGTAATATCTGGTCTTGATTTCGATTGATTTGTTAAGATAGTGGCTTTTGGAAACAAGAGGCTTTTTTCAGGAGCCTCCTTCTGTTGTACGGAACTAAGTTATTTTGGGAATTCCTCTTTCAGGTCACTAAATGTTCTTCTGCAACCTGTGGCCGTTTTTATCATCCACGTTGTGTTGCGAAGTTACTTCCCATGGTAGTTAAGTTTAAGCATGTTGGAGAGGAACTTGAGAAAAATATCGCTGATGGTCATCCTTTTATTTGTCCCGTTCATTATTGTTGTGTCTGTAAAGAATTGGAAAATAAGATGGAACCTGAGTTGCAACTGGCTGTTTGTAGGCGTTGTCCAAAGTCCTATCATCGCAAATGTTTGCCAAGGTTATTTCTCTCCTTTTCTATGTTTCTTGTCTTCATTTTAATATTTTAATTGATATTGTCCAGACAATTGACTCTCAAGTTGCTTTTATCAGACAAATCTCTTTTGATGATGAAGATAATTTACCAAGGGCTTGGGAAGGTCTTCTATCACACAATCGCATTCTTATATATTGTTTGTAAGTGTTATATGGGTGTTTTTGTTTTTTCAATTAGCCCTTTTAGACCGCTACTTAAGTTTTTTTACTGTTACTTGGAACAGAAATCATGAGATTGATGATGAACTTGGGACTCCCAAAAGAGATCATTTAAAATTCCCCAATGTTAAAAGCATTGTTCCAGAAATTAATGCTGCTGATGAGAGGACAAAACCTGCGGACAAAGGGAGAGTTATATTGAAGAAGAACAATGTTGGCAAAGATAAGGGACCTAATTTGATTGGAAGACAGTCATCTGGGGAACTTAGTAAGAAGAACAAACCAAAGTCAAATGAAATGAATAAGGGTTATGAGCGAATCAAGCCTGTCAATCAGGTTGATAATGAGACCCCGTTGGTTGAGCCCATTAGAAAGTTGAGTTGTTCACTGCCTCTATCAGATGCTGATTCAAAGAAGAGGTGTCTAATCTGACTTCTGAGTTGCTTATTTTCTTGCTATTGATTCTTTTTGTTCTTTCAGAGTATTTCTTTAATGGTTGGCATTATGATGTAATTCCTTTGATTCTTGTCTGAAACTTGAATGCTGACATTATTTCCTCCCATGCAGTTTGTTGGCTTTGTTTAAAGAAGCTAGATCATCAGTTACGTTGGAGAGTGTAAAGCGCAAGCTTGCTTCTACTCATACTCACGCATTCAGAAATGTTCTGGAGGAGACCATTACAATGGGGAAGCTGGAAGGATCAGTCGATGTATGTACCTATTTTTATTAATGTGTGTCTCTTTGTGGATTTTCTTGAACGATTATGTGTTCTGTCTTGTGTATATACAGGCTGCTCAAACAGCTCTAAGGAAGCTAGAGAGTGAGTGCAGCATTCAGGATGTAGAAGCTGTTTGTGACCCCGATGTTCTGAAACAGATATTTATGTGCAAGGTACATACCTATTTTCGGATTACTTCTGAGAATTTTAATTATTGCTGCTTAAAGTCATGATCTCTTAAAGTCAACTAATGATCAGGAAGTTCAAGCATCTATAAATGAAGGTCAGAAAAGAAGTTCACATCATGGTAATGTTAACCAAGAGAGACAACAGGGACAGAAATGTAGGATGAGCAAGTCTCACAAGACATCACGGAAGAGAAAACATATTAGGGAAAATGATACAAGAGGACAGGGTGTGGGCTCACCAGCCAAGAGGCAGGCTGTAAATGAAATGACTGAAGGGGTACCTGACCATAGCCAACCCATTCCTATTGATATTATGAATGAAGGTCAGAAAAGAAGTTCACATCATTGGAATGTTAACCAAGAGAGTCAACAGGGACAAAAATGTAGGATGAGCAAGTCTGACAAGACATCACGGAAGAGAAAACATATTAGGGAAAATGATACAAGAGGACAGGGTGTGGGCTCACCAGCCAAAAGGCAGGCTGTAAATGAAATGACTGAAGGGGTACCTGACCATAGCCAACCCATTCCTATTGATGAGAGATCCCCAGTTGAAGGTTTTCAGCCTAAATCCGATATGGCCTCTCCACAAGTCAAGGTTGGTGATGACAGTTACCAGTTGGTGATGAGCAAGTCTCACAAGACATCACAAAAGAGAAAACATATTAGGGAAAATGATACAAGAGGACAGGGTGTGGGCCCACCAGCTAAAAGGCAGGCTGTAAATGAAATGACTGAAGAAGTACCTGACCATAGCCAATAGTGGGATGACAAGTTGAGGTTGGTGATGACAATTACTAGTTGATGCCCGTCTCAGATGTTGTAAAAACTAATAGTGGGATTACAAATAATAGAAGTGGCACTTTTGAACGTATTGTGCCCCAACCTGGACATCGTTGTGTGCTGAAGGGTTTTGCTTCCGATCCTCACATTGAGTATTCACGCAGGCATTCAGCTGGTTGGCTCGAAGAGTGGTTAAAACGTCTATTGTTTTATTAATTTTTTTTTCCTTTACTTCTGCATAATGATGCTACATGTTGTACATAGATGATCTTAAGATGGAGGTTGTTTATTTGGTGGTTTATTTAGTTATGCAGGACCCTGTAGTTATCATTTCAGATTTGGTATGATTAGATTGCTTCTTTGTCCTGGCTTAAATGTTCTGAGCATCTCACCATTGATTATAGTAATCTGATCAAGGAAAGGAAAGAAGCCTTTGAATTGAAGTACCTGACCATAGCCAATAGTGGGATGACAAGTTGAGGTTGGTGATGACAATTACTAGTTGATGCCCGTCTCAGATGTTGTAAAAACTAATAGTGGGATTACAAATAATAGAAGTGGCACTTTTGAACGTATTGTGCCCTAACCTGGACATCGTTGTGTGCTGAAGGGTTTTGCTTCCGATCCTCACATTGAGTATTCACGCAGGCATTCAACTGGTTGGCTCGAAGAGTAGTTAAAACGTCTATTGTTTTATTAATTTTGTTTTTCCTTTACTTCTGCATAATGATGCTACATGTTGTACATAGATGATACATAGATGATCTTAAGATGGAGGTTGTTTATTTGGTGGTTTATTTAGTTATGCAGGACCCTGTAGTTATCATTTCAGATTTGGTATGATTAGATTGCTTCTTTGTCCTGGCTTAAATGTTCTGAGCATCTCACCATTGATTATAGTAATCTGATCAAGGAAAGGAAAGAAGCCTTTGAATTGACAGGGTAAATAAATAGTTTATGATGTTTGGTAGTAGTACTGAAATAATTTTTATTGTGCAACATGATAAATCTGCTTCTTTGTGATCATAATCTCAAAACAGCATCTTTAAGTAAGGGTAAAATTGTGGTTGAGTCCGGAGTGATGCACGAGGTTATAGTATTATTACAGTTGATGGATATTTAGCCTTTCCTCAATTTTTGAGGAATGGCGTAGATAACAGCAAAAGGCTATAGAAGCCTCTACAATGAGCACCTAAAAACCAAAATTGCGACAATTGAGTTTTAACTTGTAAAAATTGGTTTAGCGCATCATATATGTCATGTTTCTGGCACGTTATTTTGGAAATGATTAGGTGTGACTTGTTTGTTTTGAACCGTGATAAAATTGGGTTATGTAATTAAAATTTTTGAAAAAAAATAAACTTGATAGAATTTATTCTATTTATTTTCATTTTATTTCACTATCTTTTTTTGTATTTATGAAATAATTAAATAAAAATTTATATTATCATAGAATATTTAAATAGTAACATAATAAATTTATACCATATTTATCATATTTCATTTTATTTTATCTCACCTGTTTTTATTCTGTTTTATTCGTAAACCATCATGTTCTAGTTTGTTACGGTTTAAATGCAAGGTTGTACATTTGTTATTTTCCCCTCGTTTTGCACTTCGGAATAAAATAATATAAATCTCAAAGCTCTAACTCGGCATGTGGGTGAATGATATTTCGCAAAAGCGCACGCGTTGTGATCACGTGACATCGCGAAAGACAACCAACCGAGCACATGTGACCACTACATGATCTGCATTTTTTTTTGTCTAATTACCAAGCTTAAATATTCAGGTCGATGCAAAATAAATAATTTTTTATATATTCACATAAATTTATATTTCTTCAATTATTGTTTTTAGGGTGTTTGACATTTTAAATGACATAAGTTATGTCATTTTAGGAGAAAGATAGACACATAAAACGAAAATCATGAGAGAGAGAAAGTGAGTGTTTTTTTTTAATTTAAAATTTAAATAAAAAAATTTATTCTGTGTCTATCTCTCTCTTAAACTTGATGCTTGGGATAATAGTGAACTCACGATTATTCAAGCCCAGCTTCTACCCGGTCACACAACAAAAACTTAAACGGGTTCGTCAGCAACCCGACCAACAAATCACCAGTCATACATGCATAGCCCAGTAACCCGGATACTTGACGACAATGGGGGCAGATTAAGCAGTTAAATCGCGCGTCATCTACCCGGTTACTCCATGAAAGTATTGACGGGTTCATGAACGACCCGTCCACCATATAAACATGTAGATAAAGTCCGAGATAAGGAATGCCGCTCGAGGGTAACCCGCAAGTGGGACCAAAACAACTCAAGTGTATTCCTAACCCGGACGCGCAATATGGTTGATGCTCAACCAATAAAGCAACAAGAGGGAAATGGCGAAACACATACCATAAGCCAAGAACTCGAAATCAACACGCATGCTGACATTAGGATGCAACCCGAAAGAACGAGATCGCCCTCGACCCGAACACTGGGGTAGGCAAAATATCTCACCGAGTTGATGCTCAACCCGTCGACACAAGGGGGCAAGGGACACCTCGCGAGAAGAACATTCTCTCATAAGCAGAACATGCAAATTTACAACAAACGCAAACCCATTCAGGGGCACAAACCTGGAAGACACACATAAGTTCACCCCGACTACCCGGACACCCCGGTAGCCGAGCTGGGGGGCAACTGTTATGGACCCGTATAATGGGCCCATTAAGTAGCAAGTCCAACAAGGGGCAATCCAAGATATGGATTGATACTAATAAAGGATAGATGTCCATCAAGGATATTAATCCTAATGCGACAACATAGCTATCAGGCCTGGGCCCTCACCGTAGGAACCAAAGGCCCATCCACACTACCTACAGGTAACCTCTATAAATACAAAGGTAAACTCTAAAGGTACGTACGCTCTCTCTCTCTTACTGTTACGCTGTCACTGTGCGCGCACACACACCCCATTGGCTAACACCGTTATAGTATTCTGTGCACAGTGATCTGCTTGACTCAAAGGTATCTCATCCATAGATACCTTGAAGAGGGCACCAGATTCAAGATTAACATACTAGCCTATTGGGCTAGACATCTCTGTCTCAAGGACAGAACAAAAAGATTAAAAAAATTATAATTATAAATACTATAATAACCCTGAAATAAATTAAAATTAAAAAAATATTATGATTTTCATCACAAAACAATGTCATATTAGGTTTACTGGAGATAACTTCGACAGTGAGTATTGAAAAAGTGAACCCTTAATTATGAATGGATTTAATACCAAATTTTAAAATAATAATAGTTGCACTATTTACGATAATAATTATTAAATATTACTTATTATTTATGATACTAATTAATATTTATACAGAATTAAGGGAAAAAAGTGAAAAAAAATCTTCCAATGTAATTTTTAATAATTTTAATAGAGAATAAATTTCAAAAAAATTAAATAAATATTAAAAATTTTGAAATTCAAAAAAATAATTTTAATATTTTTTCATAAATTCGAAAAATTATATTTTTAAAGCGAATTATAACTAAAATGTTATATTATAATATCGTTTATAAAAATGTAAGCATGCACTTAATTATGTTAACTTGAGTGATGATTTGGATGATTAACGTTCCTGTGTATCTAAATACAATCCTTAATTCTCCTCAAATTAATATTCAATTTTTTTTTATTTGAGATGTAATCATTCTTTCTTTTGTTTAAATTCAAATTGAGAGGAATGCTCCGCATTCAACTCTGTTATTATACATTAATATATGTTGGAAAAACATTTATCGTTTAAAATGATATAATCATATGTCATTTAGATTTTAATCGTTGATTTCTGTCAATTAACGGTTATAATTGATTGGATCAAAATTATTAATTAATTAATAATAAGTTGGACCATTAAATTTAATCCAATAAATTATAACCATAATAAACAAAATCAACAATTAAAATTTAAAATTACATATAATTATATCCTTTAAAAAAATTAGATATTTTTCCCATGTATGTTTCCTTTGTTGGCTTCACTAACATTCTGATTCGTTTGTTCCCTCACATTCCAGCTAGCGAATCAATCTGGAGTCTATACACCCCCTTTACACATCACTTGTGTCAATAGCTGGCTTTATAATAAGCGTTTATTTCATAATGCTGTCTTTTTTTTTCACTCTCTTGTAATTAGGTACGTGAATGAAGATTATTGGCTCCTAATTTAGAAAATGAAAACTCTCTTCTTTAAAGATGACATTTTACATTCACATCATGTGACAACTATTTTTCACTAGTAAAATTTACTTACGCGAGTATCTGTGCATTCACGTGGCCCCCACAAACACTAATTCCAATCAAATACTGGGATATGGACTTTATGCTTATCCCGCAATCAACGTAGGCATGAATGGACGACTCAGATCAAAGTTTGAGGCAGTGACACTCACCAATCAACGCCAGCTGTCCTATGATGCGTTGGATCCCACTGGGCCTCGTGGTTTAAAGTGGTTTTTCTCTTCTTATAGGTTCTTGTACCTTGTTTCAAATTCAAGTTTCATTGTCTTTCTCTCTATTTCTATCTTCCAAGAGTTTTATTTTATCTATGGCTGCTATGGCTGGCTTTGAACTGCAGATGAAGGAGAGAGCCAAGGAGCTCAAGATTTTGATCAAGAAAGGAGTCAAGATTGTGGGAGATTCATGCAAGAAGGGATGGAACAAAGTCAAACATATCAAACGCTGATTGTAGGCAATTTCATGGCTTTTTTTTTTTTCAAATTCAGTTGATTTTTTTGGTATCATTATAGTCTCTTCATAGGTTTGGTTTACATATACAAAAATGGGGAATATGTTTTTTTTGTAATATAAAAAAAAGTAGATGAGATTCACTTTAAAAAAAAAGAAAAAAAAAAAGACGAATCTCATTTATCTTTTTTTTTGTGTGCAGACATATTTCTCAAAAAAATAAATTCCTAGTCTACGTTCGTTTTATTTGGTCCATCTCTCCCCTTTTATGTAGTGTCTGCGTTTGTCCTCTTTTTTGTTAAGACTGAAATTTTGTTTATTAATATTATTTATGTGTTTCCTATGGATTGTTATTTAAAGTTTACTGAGGAGCCAAGTTAATTTTTATCCCTCGCTTCTTGTTCCTTTTTTATTTTCATTTTTTTTATGGACAACGTTTGAAATTTGAACAACATATATGGTACACGATCCAGGCGCAGCCCCCAAATTGCGTTTTGTGTTAGGTCTTATGTGTGGTTCATTTGAGAAACTTATATGAGGAGAAACTTTAGAGGGCCATGATCATGGGCTTGTAAATTTACTACGATTCATTTTGAATTTGAATGTATTATTCACCGAGTTCTATATCACGTATTGAAATAAATTTTTAGTGCATCATGTAAAATTTAGGAGATGTTTGGTAGAGGAATTATTATTTTTTATTTAAGAATTTTGATTTTTAGAAATATGATGAAAATATTCAGTTTACAATGATATTCAAAAATTTAAAATTTAAAAAAATTTAATTTTTTGATAATCTTATAAAATATCTTGTATCAAACGCTTCCTTAGTGTATTGGCCTAATTATTTTGTAATATATGAACAAAAAATATCATATCGTTAGCTTTTTTTAGATGATGTAATATTTTTTTTTATGTGTATTCGGCCAATAATGGGTAGACGCATTGGTGTATCTGATGAACTAAAATTTTATTCCACTTATTGAAGAATTTTTTTTTACCAACTCTAGATTGAATCCACATCATATAAAAGTTTTTGAAGGTTGTGATGTAAACATTGTTTTCCTTCA